CCCGTCTTACTCTGTTGCCCAGGCTGGAGTGCAGTGGTGTGATCTCAGCTCACTGCAGCCTCCACTTCCCAGTTGCCAGCAATTCTCCTGCCTCAGCCTCTCTGGTAGCTGGAATTACAGGTGCCCGCCATCATACCCAGCTAATTTTTATATTTTTGATAGAAAGGGGGTTTCATCATGTTGGCAAGGCTGGTCTCGAACTTCTGACCTCAAGTCATCCACCTGCCTTGGCCTCCCAACATGCTGGGATTACAGGTGTGAGCCACTGTGCCCACTCTTGTTTCTTTTTTTTGAGACAAGGTCTGGCTCTGTCATCCAGGTTGGAGTGCGGTGGTGTGATCTTGGCTCACTGCAACCTCTACCTCCTGGTTCAAGCGATCCTCCCACCTCAGCTTCCTAAGTAGCTGGGACTACAGGCATACACCACCACACTTGGCTAATTTTTGTATTTTTTTTGTAGAGATGGGGTTTTACCATGTTGGCCAGGCTGATCTTGAACTCCTGGGCTCAAAGCGATCCACCCACTTTGAACTGCCAGAGTACTGGGATTACAAATGTGAGCCACTGCACCTGGCCAGGTTCTTTATCATAGTAGAAACGAAGACAGAATTTGCGTGGTGGCTCATGCTTGTCGTCCCAGCACTTTGGGAGGTTGTGGCGGGTGGATCATGAGATCATGAGTTTGAGACCAGCTTGGCGAACACAGTGAAACCCCATCTCTACTAAAGATACAAAAATTAGCTGGGCCTAGTGAGCGCGTGTAATCCTAGCTACATGGGAGGCTGAGGCAGGAGAACTGCTTGAACCCGGGAGGTGGAGGTTGCAGTGAGCCGAGGTCGTGCCACTGCACTCCAGCCTCGACAATAAGAGTGAAACTCTGTCTCTCAGCCAGGTGCAGTGGCGCACGCCTGTAATTCCATCACTTTGGGAGGCCGAGGTGGGTGGATCACGAGGTCAGAAGTTTAAGACCAGCCTGGCCAACATGGTGAAACCCTGTCTCTAAATTAAAAAGAGAGTGAAACTCTGTCTCTCTCTCTCTCTTTTTTTCCCTCCTTGGCCCGAAACTCTGTCTCAAAAAAAAAATTATTTGGGCATGATGGCGCATGCCTGTGGTCCCAGCTACTTGGGAGGCTGAGGTGGAAGGATCGCTTGAGCCTGGGAAGCAGAGGTTACAAGGAACATAGATTGTGCCACTGCACTTTAGCCTGGGCAACAGAGAGAGACCTTGCCTCAAAAAAAATTTAAAAAAAAGGAAAATGTTTTCAGCTGAGTACAGTGGCACTCACACCTATAATCCCAGCACTTTGGGAGGCCAAGGAGGGTGGATCACCTCAGGTCGGGAGTTCTAGACCAGCAAGGTGCCCTTTGACAAGAGTGAAACTCCGTCTCCAAAACAAAGAAAAAAGAGGTTTTCTCTTTCTTTCTTTTTTTGGGAGACGGAGTCATAGAGTTCAGTGAGGAGATCTTGACTTACTGCAACCTCCACCTCCCGGGTTCTCTTGCCTTAGCCTTTTAGTAGAGACAGGGTTTTACCATGTTGGTCAGGCTGGTCTCGAACTCCTGACCTCGTGATCTGCCTGCGCTGGCGTCCCAAAGTGCTGGGAATACAGGTGTGAACCACTGCGCCTGGCCAGAAGGTTTCTCTTTCTTCAGGACGAAGATATGTACAGAATTTGGTGACTGAATTAGAAATCTTATATCCTGGAAAAATGAAGTAATGGAGAAAAAGGAGTGCAAAGTGGCTCTGGTTTGGGACAAGGTATTTAATTTGATAGTACACCTGTTGAGTTGAGGTAGAAGTAGAATATCTGGGTGTATACTGTGGGCAGCTCTACATGTAGCGGGAGATCAAGGTAGGAGGTATTTGATTTGGGTGTCATCTGTGTAGGGGAGCAAAAATAAATTCTGTAATTTCTGTACCATTTGGCTAAATGTTATTTAGGAATCATAAACTTTTTTTTTTTTTTTTTTTTTTTTTGAGATGGAGTCTTGCTGTGTCGCCCACGCTGGAGTGCAGTGGCGTGATCTTGGCTCACTGCAGCCTCCACCTCCTGGGTTCAAGCAATTCTTCTGCCTCGGCCTCCTGAGTATCTGGGACTACAGGTGTGCACCACTATGCCCAGCTAATTTTTGTATTTTTAATAGAGACAGGGTTTCACCATATTGGCCAGGCTGATCTCAAACTCCTGACCTCGTGATCCACCTGCCTTGGCCTCCCAAAGTGCTGGGATTATAGGCATGAGCCACCACACCCGCCCTAGACCACCCTATTTTATTTTTTTGAGATGGAGTCTTGCTGTGTCGCCCACGCTGGAGTGCAGTGGCGTGATCTCGGCTCACCGCAACCTCCGTCTCCTGGGTTCAGGCAATTCTCCTGCCTCAGCCTCCTGCGTAGCTGGGATTACAGGCACGCAGGCCTCTGTCTTATATGGAGCCCTATCGTACAGAGTCACATCTGACTGACCAGTTTCATCCAGGTCAGTTAGTAAACTTGAGTTAATAATAATAAATGGCAAAACCTGTTTCTCACCCAGGTAGCCTAAACTAGTGACCTTGGAAGTGGCATTCATTGTTACAATACAGTTCTTTGGGCCGGACACATGAATTGGCATTTATCATTACAAAGTTCTTTGGGCTGGACACAATTCTTTGGGCTGGTCACTTGAACCCACTGGACACTGGGACACATTAATGTTAATGAATAACATTATGGAACTCAGGGTAGTTGGTATGTTGCAGTTGTGGACCACCCACAGATTACTTTTTTGTAATCATTATAGTGTATTGTACTAGTTTTAGTGTTGTTCTCACCTTCTGGACTGAACTGTTCTAGAGCAGAGTCTGTTGTGTTTTTCATGCCCCTTTTCCAGGAGGTATTATGAAACTTTCGTGTTGAATGAGGGAAGACCAGAGGTTCTTCAGTTTTGCTCTCAGGTAAAGGAGTGGATCTTACAGCTCAGCCATCCTGCTGGGAAACACATGGCAACAGGTAGATGCCACTTGAATAGGCAGCTGTGGTGAGGGTAGTATAATTGAAGAGCGAAGGGGCGTAGCTCTGGGTGG